AGCTATGAGCCTCTGTAAAACATCGGCAAACATGACATCAATCTGACGTCACCCATGCTTGATCTGTCATTGAACTCATAATTGTTGTCTTGACACAGGGCCTAGATTTCATCGATTAATAATCAATGAAAATCTTGCAGCGGCATCTCGAAGCGTTCTTAAATTATCACGCATGTTAGGCAGGGGGCAGATTTACCCCGGCCAGCCCCACCCCCCAACCCCCAGCAATGCCGGGCTAAGCCGCATTTCGCGACGGCGAGTTGGGGAAGGCGCCTCTTAGATTCCCTGTCACTCTTCTCTTCATTCAATTTCTTGATCATTCTAGGATGATGTTGTTCATGACCTCTAGGTACGTCTCCGGAAACCGTGAGTGTTTGCGCGATATTTCTGCTAAAGCACGGAGACGAGACAGTGCACCGGGTTGCTAGTGTTCAGATATGGAATCTCTTCCAGGGGATTTTCGTAGCATTCGTCATTATAACACTGAGAGCTGACATTCGTACCAGATAAAGCATGCACTGAGTGCGGAACACTCGTGCCTTTTGCATCGCAGTTCTTCGAATGCTATTGCGTCGATTTCCCCCAACTTATGGAGAAGGTGATTTGGGTCGTGGGCTAGAATCGGGACAGGTGCCGTTATAATAAGCAGTGTTATTGGAGCGTGGCTGGTCTGATCTGGTCTTATTTGGACCGTAGACTAGTTTTGACTGGTCTGACGCTAGCCCAGCCGAGCAATGACTGATAACTAAAGGTGAGCATGGGGCTCACTGGGCCGTTTCAATGTGCCGTGGGACTACCGGCAATCACCGGTGGCAAACAGATCTATCGCACTGTTTTCCCGCCCCTTGGGGATTTTCTCCCTCTCAGATGGTCCTGCTCGTCGCCCCGCCAGGTCGTAACTAGATATGAACATATTTCTGTGAGAGTCCATACTGGCGGGGATTCCATAGTCTCGCGAGAAAAAAAAAATCCCTAGGGATGGATAAAGGAAACTGAACGTTCATCGCGGTTTCCATTACCGCCGGCCCTCCCAGGGCAGCGGTATGGCAGAATTACTGAAGTAAGCCAACCCTGACGTCATGAATTACTTCTTGGCGGATATGATGGCGTCAGGTGCTCCGTCCCGAAATTGAATGGCATTGAATGACCAGCATTCTGTCGTCGCCACGGTATGCGGTCCCGCACAGGTATTCGTAAGGCCACGTTCTGTTCCACGCTAAGGCTTAGCACTTCGGTGCGACGGGTAGTTCTCACATTCGGCGCACCTTCCTCCCTGCTTGCTGCCCCCTATTGCAGTTTAGAACAGCCTACGGTGGGCCTGACCACAATGACGCCGCAGCGTGTTGAAGTATTCGATGATTTGGTGATTACCCTTTAGGCATGTAAAACACCTCTGCTCTTCCACGATGCACTGTCTTGCGTCATTTTCTCCGCCGGGCAGGCTACCCTGCTTACCACTGCGCAGTCTTTTTACCACTTAGCACCTACCCAGCGAGCGAGCTCTAGTCTGGGAGACACCACATACGCGACACTAGCATAAGCCTGGGAGACGTCACAGACGCGACATTAGCACTAGTCTGACATACGTCACGTGCACGACACTAGCGCTAGTCTGGGAGACGTCACAGACGCGGCGTTAGCACTAACCTGGGAGACGTCACAGGCGCGACATTAGCACTAGTCTGGTAGACGTCACAGACGTGACACTAGCACTAGTCTGGGAGGCGTCACAGACGCGACACTAGCACTAGTCTGGTAGACGTCACAGACGCGACACTAGCACTAGTCTGGGAGACGTCACAGACGCGACACTAGCGCTGGTCTGGGAGACGTCACCGACGCGACACTAGCACTAGTCTGGGAGACGTCACAGACGCGACACTAGCGCTAGTCTGGAAGACGTCACAGACGCGACACTAGCACTAGTCTGGTAGACGTCACAGACGCGACACTAGCACTAGTCTGGAAGACGTCACAGACACGACACTAGCACTAGTCTGGGAGACGTCACAGACACGACACTAGCGCTACTCTGGGAGACGTCACAGACACGACACTTCCAAATTCCAAGAAATTTCAAGAAGCAGCCGTGCAGCCAACGCTAACAAAACGTCAGCTGACAGGCCCAACTTACATAGCTGCCTGAAATCCAAACTCTCTTCTTACATTGATCATCAAACTTTGTGTTGTGTACATAGATTATGGTAAGGAGTTTTTTTAGCTGAATCTGCACTGTAGAACAGTCTATGTACTGCGTAAGGTGAATGCTATTTTCTGTACGCTGTTTATTTTTCGAACTGTGTTGGAAAAGCATGCACGATTCATACAAGTGCAGGCAAAACGTCATCCAATAAGGTCATCTGACATAGTTGCTTTGATTCCTAAACTCGTCTGTAGTACCCATACTTTAAATGTAACTACTAATTCTGCCTACTAATTGCTCTGAAAAAGATGCAATTTTCTGTAGCCTATTTATTCTCAAGATTATTTTGGGAAAACATCAACTGAGCGACGTCCCCCAAAGCGTCTGTGCTGTAACCTCGACTCAGCTTTACCTAGTAGTTCTGTCAGCTTGAATCGGATTGAGCTCTTTCTCCACGTTGAGCGTTTTTCCAACGTGCATCTGTCGCTCGTTGTGTGGAAGCTTGACTTCTCTTCCCCCCCCCCTCCCCATGAATAAGGCTTCTTACCATGCGTAGGCAATCAGCGTCTCCCATGGTCTTGATTGGATCGAGTGTCGCAGTAACGTTTTCCGCAACAGCAGTGATAGCTGCGGATTGATGAACAGGTGGAGAACTTCGAAGGCCCTCTACGCTAGACTGTATTAGGCGCTGCTCACCCCGAACTTGTTTCTCTCCGGTATGTTAATAGCCGAGATGACATCTGCCTTTGACTAGATTAACCATGCAGTGGCGTAAGGTGCCAACCACTTAGCTTCATCTTAAGATGGAACATTTTCTTCACAGTCGGCATGTTTGAATCTGGTTTTCTGACGTCGTGAACACAAGGATGCGGTTTCTATATGGTGACACTTCGCCTTTAAAATAGATGATGACAGGCTTTAAACGGTGACTCTGGTGAAGATTCACCGACAGTGCTATGGAACACTGGACAGGTGCAGATGGGCCACGCTGGTCTTACTCGCTCTTCTACGTTTCGACGGGGGTGTCTCCCATCACATCTTTGCTTATATCTGCGAGCACTTGGTCTTGTGTACCGCTATCTGAAATCCTGCACTCCAGTACGCTGTGCAACAAGAGGTGAGTTTCTTCATAACTTCTATGCAGACGAATAGGTGAATAAGTGGCTCATTCAGTGGCCAGGTTTTCTAACCGGCGTGAGCTTCTTGCTAAGCGCGCATTTTCTTCTCCGAGTTCTTTCCTCAGCTCCTGCTGAATGGCCGCTACTTCCCGCGTCTGAGATACTAGGGGCACTGAGTTCAGTTCCCCGTGGTGATCGCTCTTCCTTCCAGCCTGGGGGGTAAACGGCGCCAAATAACCTCAGCCGCTGAGTGTTTTATGGAGCCCCAAAGACAACACCGACGACCATTTTCGCTCAATGATTTTGCACAGGCCACTTCCTATTCCACGGAGCACGGCCACCCTTTGGCATTTTCAATTAGTGTCAGAAATTGCTCAGAACTGCATCGGGAGATGATATGAAATGCTATTAAAACTTTGGCCATTTCATCATTACCACGCAATCCGTGGCAACGAACCATGCTATTTCTCATCGGGTTGTCAGCGATATGGGCAATTTTGTGCTCCTGCTGAACTTCATGCCTCGTTTAAGGGTCCGCCGTCGAGAGAAGTGTGTTGGACTGAATTCCTTTTCAACTGGGGTATCTTCCTACTAGAAAAGGAATGCAAATTGCATGCTCCATTCTCTGGCCTTGTTTGAGGCGCGTGTCGCCCTGCCCACCACGCGTGAAGGCAGCTCTCAGCGTGGGAAGGCCATCTTCAATTTGCCAGACAGTCTGGCAGCGCGCCGCCAGCTGCCAGATCCATGAATGCACCCTGCGTGTATCACGGAACTGAGCTGGCGGCCAGACCAGGCCCTCGGGTCTATTCTGGGCCTTTCGGTTAGGCAGACGACCAGGAAGTTTGTAGCCGTCTGCCGCTGCCGCTGCAGCGCAGAAGGGTTCAGTGGACGCGTAAAGGGCAGAAGGTCAAGGTCAAACCGGCAAATTGGTTGCGCGTGAATGACCTGGGTTCACGCTGACTGCAGATGCAGTCAGCGTGATAAATCACGCCCTGGTCTGCCAAATTGTGCGCTACGCGCTGATGCAGTTGCCGGGGTTCCACAGTGAAAGCTGTTGAAAATTCTTTCAGACTTGAAGAAGGTTCAGTGAAATGTTGTGCAATATCTGTAGATGAATACGACCAGAATGCATGTCAGTCGCATTCCGTTCGTTTACCTGTTCCGATGGCTCACTTGGTTAGACCGTCTGCCCTCCGAATCACCCTCTCGTAGTGAGCGGGAGGTGGGGGAGGGGGAGGGGTGGTCGAGTCGATAAAAGGCTCGCTGTTTGCCCGAAGTGGGATGTTTAGGCATTCACAGGTGATATTTTCATTACCTGAATTAACCGACAACCCTGAAGTCACACCCTATTTTTCCGCTGCATGTTTGCAATTGTTTTTGACCACTTCTTACACTCGTGTTTGAAATTTTAACAGGGCTGCATATGTAAGTTATGGAAAACCTCCAGAATGTTTACGAAGGTCCAAACTTACTCTACTGCGTTCAGGATACAACAGTGGCTTGAATGCAGCTAGTTGTGATTTAAAAATCGCAAGAAGTAACATGGTGTATTATTGCATTATGTTTCCATTCAACATATGGTATTGCATCATGTGTTTGATGCGTAGAAACGACTTGGTCGTTTCACCACCAACCGGCATGCTGTGTGTCAAGTCCGCCGGTTCTACAATACCTCCAGGTGTGTTCTTGAAGAACACACGTGTTTCAACAACTGTCTGAATCGATGACCTCTGCTGCAGGTACTGAAGATGCTGGTGATCGTGGTGGTGATGTTCATCATCTGCTGGCTGCCCTTCCAGCTGTACTACGTGCTGCAGTCCATCTTCCCTGTCATCAGCCAGTAAGCATGCGGCTGGGCCACAGCAGCCCTCAGAGCCCTCAGAGCCCGGACCCGGGCCTCATGTCAGACCCGGATCCGGTGTCGTGAATCAAGGGTTCCGTTCAGTGCGGTCTTGGTTCACACTGCATGGGGAAGTGTGCCATGAACTTCTTGTTTTGTAAACGCGTCAAAATTGTGATAATCTGCGAATTGAAAGCTCAAAATGGATGTTGCGGCCTTTCTGGGTTTTCGCGCTCATACGACTGAGTAACAAAAGAACACCAGGGGTGCAATTTCCTATTCAGTTGACTGCGGGAGAAGGCTGTAGAAAGGAGCATATTTTGCCATTTTTCCCTCCTTACACTCAATTCATTTTGTGGAACCGCCGTCTGATAAGAAGGCCTATATTTTAACTTATTTTAACTTCATGGGGCCAAGATCAGGCGTTTAAGCTTCTATCTGGTTTGGTTGTTTAGGTACTTTGTCTTACAAGGTTTACCTTGTCTCTCCATAAGCATTCATGGTGCATGATGAAAAAACGCGGGACGACTGCAAGCGGTGCGAGATGCCACAAAATCGTGAACATGCCGAAACATCGCTGGAACTGATCCGTTGTAAAATGGTCACCACTGCAATGTGCCTCGGACTGCTTCCCTTTGGAAGAGGAGTAGATCATACTCAACACAGCAGATCAGAGGGAGGGTGGACGTCGGTAGGAACGACATTCTGATGTTCCTTCCCATCAGATTGCGTGAGCTTCTAGCCGTTTCTTTTAGACACTCTGCATCATCATGCAGCACTGTTAGCACTTTTTCAGTCAATTTCTCCTTGTGGGCTGGAATGATATTGTACGCTTTTCAGCAGCGCTCCTGCATATGCAGCTGTATTCTGACCCAGTATGTATCAACCCTAGCAACCAGACTCTGTGATGAACTTTTTGAGATCCGCTGTGGCTTAGTTTTCTGTGAACCCAAGATCGCGTCAAAGGGGCGACATTGCCCCGCTATCCCAGTGACATCTGGCGGTAACTTTACAAATTACGACATCCTGATCTCGGTCCCGCTATAGCGACGTTCATATTTGTTTCCCGCCAAAATCGAAGGCCATGTCTGGCCGAGAAACTCTTTCGGAATATATTTCGTGGCCGGAACTTCTGGAATCTTCTGAGCCGTGCTGAGCACTCAGCCGGGCTCCTCCATTCAGTGGACACTGCCCTTCTGGGCGTGAACTTCCATTAAACTTCCTCGCGGAAATAACCAGCCGTTAGCTACGGGAAATACCCAGCCGGTGTATCTGAAGCTTTCAAAGAGGCCTCAGTGCTGAGCTGTGGGTTAAAGCGAGATGCATGGTCTGTTGACATCGGCAATCGCAGCTTCGAAGGACCATTTCCTCGGGTGCGAGAGCGAATTTTTACTGTCGAAGTAAAGCAGGCCTTTAATACAGTCTCTGGCTGAGCGATGTGTTGGCACCGCGCTTGTGGACATTGCGGAGAAGTCAAGTGCTATTTCAACCTGCTGGTCATCAGTGCATATTGTTCCTTTTCCGGTAATAGTTACCTTCGAAGGTCGCGATAATCACGCTATCACGGGTTGGAGTAAATCATGATATCAATAATCAGGGATTACTCTGATATCAGGGATTTACAGTATGTCATGCGGTAGGCCCGCTGGACAGTTTGTTGGTTTTAAAAATTCTGCAGTGGATCTGCCTTTCAAAAAATGCGTCACTTGTTGGCATAATTTAAAGGATCTACGCATGACATATTGTGCCGCTTAGCTGACTCAGTCTATTTAGGATAACAAAATGATACATTTGGGAACTAAGAATATGGCCATCTGGATGGAAAGCTGACGCGGCGTTGGAGCTGTCGAGGCCATCCGCATGATCCGCGCCTTCTAACTGGTCATGATCCGCGCCACTCTAACTGGTCATGATCCGTGTCATTCTAACTGGTCATGATCCGCGCCATTCTGACTGGTCACGATCTGCGTCACTTTAACTAGTCATGGTGACGTGATGGTAGCTAGACTTAAGTCTTAAGTTCCTGGATTTTGATCTTATGGATTGATGAGCTCTTACGTTGAATATATTACCTTTTATATGCCATGAAATGGTGGGCATGAGAATATATCAAGCTTTCATTGCACATCATTCACGAATATCCGATGGTTTTAGCAGCGATCGTGGTCATCAGTGTACAACTTTAAATATAAAATGTGACTAAAGAACCTGAGGTACGTGAGAAGATGTTCCAAATTGGTGCACAATGTCATTACAAAATGCACTAGTAGTGCTACATTCACTCAAATTTGTAACAGCCCACATCCTGCCAGATCCGTTGGGAGTGGCTACGCATTCGTCGGTATAGGAGTCAGCACCCGCATTCGTAAAATGATGGAGCTGTGTCTGTATGTCATAGCTTGGCAGTTCTGTCCCCGTAACTGAACAAACCATAGCATATCATATTGCAACTTTACCGGCGTTTCGACCTGATGTGTCGCCTGTATGTGCCTCCATACTTCATTACCTTCCACGCATCCTGTTTCAATTGGCCTCTACATTTAGAATGCTTAAAATAGCAAAGGTAGGCCAGCTTGGTGGTTTCCTCGATCTTCTCCAGTAAGTTGGCGCCTGTTTTACTCCTCCTTCAGAAAGTGAAACAAAGACGATTTAACAAGCACCCGTCTCTTACGTTCATAAAAGTCCCAAGATGGGGCTGCCCACTGTTTTAAGGAGATTATGAAACAAATCAGTCGTAGTCATCTCCACATGCGACACCAGGGTTGGAGGTCGTCAGCGAGGCATGGCGGGCCTCGGTTGACACAATGCTGTGTGGGCGGGGCCTCCGAATGCGACGTGTTAAAACTGTGTGTACGTGGAGCGGCAGCAGCAGTACACACAGTTTTGGTGGCAGCTCCCAATTTTTCAATCAACGCTTCCAATTTCAGTAAAGGCTCATGCGACTATGTTAGCTAGTTCAGCAGATGTTGCAGGGTGCCCCAGTAATTCTGCACAGCTCTGCTTCTGCGGAATGTCATTTATACTTGTCCTGCGGTCAAGCGCAGCAAATCGTACGTCGTTTGCGGTGAGAGGGCTTTATCGCTGGCATGTTGACATTGATGTCATCGGTTAGAGGATAATGCGGTGCACTGGGACTGCGAATGTGACGGTCATCGTTCGCTGCAAATTGACCAATCAGCGAAAGTCATGATGTCGTGCGTCTTGCTGATTGGCTACCGTGATCTTCTCGGCGCCTAGCTGTAATGGTGCCCTGCTACCGACTGCAATGGCAGCTTTAGTTTGTGAGTCTTGGAGACAAAAGGCGTCCATGGGTGCCTGCTGTCCAAGGATGATCATTTTACGCGCGCGGCGGTGACGTTCTGCGTGGAATAAATCAGGGCCTCCGTCAGATTGGGCATGTGTTGTGTTCCACAGAAATCAGCCCATTAGCAGCCGTGGAACTCCGTAATTGTTTGCCAACAATGCAACTATCGCGATTTTCGGGTATCATTCTGAAGCGTTGAACTGATGACAACAAACTTTTTCAGGTTCCGGTACATAAATGTGATATTTTTCTGCTCACATTGGCTCGCCATGGCAAACAGCTGCTGCAATCCTTTCATCTATGGCATCTACAATGTAAGCTGTTTTATACGTGGGCTCCTATTTTTTTTTTTTACTTTTTTTACTTTTTACTATTACTCGTTCAATCTTTTGGTTATGCTTGCTTGGCCATCACGCAAATGAAGATGAAGTAGGAACGTGCATGTTTGCCTGTTGTCGTAAGCTATGAAATATCAAAGGAGACACGTTCTGTACTTCACCGAATAGATCGGGTTAAACGTTCGGACCGGGCCTCAGGACTTTCGGCGCTGCTTTGCACCACTTGGCCCAACGAGAAATTCGGCGAAGTGGCTCTCTTACCTCAGCATCTGGTCTTGGAGCCCTTACAAATAGAGCGCAACACCAAGCATGTCTCGACTCTGACTCACAGTGTACGCGCGTTACTATCGTTCTCCGCCCGTAACTCCTTTTCCGACGTGCCACTCGTTCTTCCAGGAGAAGTTTAAGCGCGAGTTTAAGAGCAAATTCCAGCGAAGCGCTTGCCACGAAGCACGTGACTCGTTCGATCACGACGACGCCTCAGAAGAGCTCAGGTCACGCTTCTCGAGGTCACTGAAGGGCAAACTCTGGGCGTAAGTCTTCGTGCAGACCATGTGCTGCATAATGCATGCCGTCCCCCGTGTTTGGAAACGGTGTGCAGATTTGTTCCCAGGTTAGCGAGCTGCCATGGAGAACTGAAGCTTTGGTGGCAAACTACGTGCTTTCCTCCAGCTTTGTTCACGCCGCGTTGTCAACAGTGGTCGGCCAGTCGGCGCAAGCCAAGGGCGTCACTGGGATTTCCCGCCTGGGGCGGACAGCCATTGACCTGTGGTGTGCCCAAGTGCTATTCGGGGAAAGGGGGTCAAAGCAAGCAAGTATCTGTGGACCCACAGTTGTTCCAGTTTATTCGTAACTTAGGCTTCCGTGACGCTTGATAGGCTCCACTACCCCACCCACCCTTCGTGACGCCCGTGCTTTGAGGATCCCGACCGATGCACGCAATTTCGGTCTGATGATGTCTGATGATGGGATTAGTCAGAATGATCAATCGCCTGGATCAAGTCATTTGAATAGGGCGAATCCTGGGACGCACCATGTCCATTAAATGTTTCCAGGAGGAGCAAAGGCTATAAACGTGGTAGACGTCACCTCAGTGAGGCATGCGTTGTGATTCCTCCGGTCTTCAAAATCACATCTTACAGTCCACTAGTGTTGCACGTACTTCGGTGGTACAAAGCAGTCGCATAATCCGGTTGTCCCACCAGTGGAACACCCTTGAACAGCGTGACATGGCTAATGACTTGCATGATTCATCTGCTTCAGCGCACCGCCTCATCCGTCCCTCATTCCACACCTCACCCCCATCCGGTGCGTGGCTGGTGCGACTGAAGTGAGCAATCTGACCGATTCCCGCGTTCCTTAGCGCCTTATTTCTGAGCTGTTTGCCTTCGCCAGGCCGGTGTCGGCTCCTAGGTCTGTGGCAGTGAGTCGCGCCCTCTGGTGCACTCTGTCCTCAGTGCGATGTCAGTGAGTTGTGCGTGCTCGACTCTACGTCGTCGCCAGACGCCCTGCCCCGAGCCGTGCATCCCGTCCCCCTCCCCATCCCTCAGTGATGCTGTCAGTGTGCCTCCACTCCTTCGCTATGGCGTCAGAGCACCGATTGACTAGCTCCTCTAGCACTGGTGGAAAATCCGTTGCGACAGGTGGAACAGCTGCAACACCAACTCTCCTTAAATTCGGTACAACTGTACCGTCTCTCCACTGAAATATGACGGACCACCCTGCTTACTTTGCTCAGCATTCTTCACCCCTGTCCTCCAGTGTCAGTCAGAGAGCGGCGCCGTGTTGCAGGGGTTCCTCCACGAAGTCGACCCTGGACCGCGGTGTCTCCGTACCGCTGAAGGAGCTGGAGCCGCTGTCCGGCCGCCCCCCGGCCGATGCCAATGGACCCGTCTGATGTCGGGTCACGCCGCCAGGGGCGGCTCCAGGTCGGCGGCCGCGGCCGGGCGGCCGCCGGCGGACGGTGACCTGGGCAGAGGCGCCGCCGGCGGTGGACGCGCTCGCCTCGCCCGAGGCGGCGCTCGCGCGCCGTCGAGACGGTCGCCAGCGGCGGCGAGGCGCCGATGGACAGCGTGTGACGTCACAACGGGAGTGATGTGACGTCACAGTCCAGTGGGTTGGATCGATCACATGGCAGGGACTGGGCGCCGCCGAGGGAGGCTACTAATACGTGGCATGGCTTGTCGGGAGGCATTACGATGAGGCAGGACCTAAGTGGCGTGACGTCTCTGGGAGACCAAAGAAGCCATGACGCGATTCCAGGACGTGTCGTGTGGGACGTGTCAGGACGTGGACGTGTACCAGGTGGGACGCGTAATGCCACCGAACAGCTGTGAGATATGATGTCACGGAACGCGAAAGCCTGGGCTGAGTGTGTGTGGTCGCACAACTTGGCAGGCATTTCATGTGATGTTGTCTTGACGCGTTCGGGTCCCGATACAAAAAAAAACTTGTAACTCGGCTACCGCAAAACTTTTCACGGAAAATATTCCTGGTAGGTAGGAGATTCAAATAGCGCTTGGTTGTTACTTGTGCGAATTTGAACATTTCTCAGAATCCAAGATGGCGGCCGCCGCCATCTTGAATGTTGGTACAGTTTCAAAGTCTTTTTCTCTATTAATCGGAAGGCTTGTGGCGACAACCGTTTGTAGGAGCTTCCTATGACAATGAGTCCATTGTTGCAGGTCTTTTTCGCCCATGGATCAAATTCAAGGTAAATCGAGGGTCAAAAAGGTCAAAGATGATCTCGGATAAAAAATCACCTCTCGATCGATGTATGCCGTGCGCAATCTTCTTGTGTTCATTGCAAACTACCACTCAAAAGAGTTGAATGCGCTATATACCATAGTCATATCAACATGTGCAACGTACAACGACGCATGCACTTTGGGAAGACGTTTTTTATTTGACTGGGTTCGTGTAATCGAGCTGCCATTCTTACACTTCTATAATGAGGACCCTGCAATTAATATTCCCGGGACCTTCTGACGGAAATGTTATATGGAGCTAATTTTACGGACCTGGGGGAACTAACTTAGCTTTTTTTGCCACTTGTGTAACTCTGTACATTCATCCAAATTCCAACTGGCTATGAGTGGGATACAACTCTGCCAGCGCGAGATATCTTCGCTCACATATTATGATACTTTATGTATAGATCCAGAAAATAGACACAGCTTAATAAGAAAAAAACTTTGATGGCTCATATTGGGATACCTAAAGTCGCTGAAGTCCCAGTATAGTGAATTTGATTGAAGTGAGACGTTTGCTGCCTAGGAAAATATTCCAATCTGACAGACAGCCAGACTCGCGCAGCTGGGTACAGGTCAACAGTATAAAACTGTAAATAAGCGCTAGTACCAACACGTTCAGCTAATAGGAATGCATCCGTGGCTATAGTGGCAGCGCTTTGCTCAGCGAGATGATGATCTGCATTCTGACGTTATGCCCTTGCAACAATCGTTCCTGTTATGATCCCGTGCACCACCAATCCACCACGAAGCCTGCCCACATCTCCCAGTCGAATGTTCTCGGGCTGACTCCAGGGAAGCCGTGTAGCTCGTGGTATGACTTGTGCCATTAAGCAGAAGACATGCAGCAGCACGGCGATAATGAGGCGGTATGCCCCCCCCGGGCGCTGGTCCAAACCCTTCGCTTGTACGTGGTGACGCGCCACTAAACGTTGCGATCATAGTCACACCCACGATAGATCCTTCATCAGTATCCCTACACAGCTCAGGACAATCGTGGGAATGTGCATCATGTCCTGTGAAGTATACCCGTGCATTACCGGCGTACACACACGTATGAGTAAAGTATGAGGTTGGTCCGGCGCTGAGGGTCAATGAAACTAGACAGCCATGCCGTCCCAGTGGCATGCGATGGCTGCCGCAGCGAGATGGGTGTGATGCGTCCCGAGATCATTGAGGGTCCTTTCAAAAAACGCAAGCGTAGACGGAAGAGTGTCTGGCTGTCAGACGGCGAGTCGACCATCGGTCCGAACGCCACCAGTGTCTTAGACTTCCAGGCAGAGCCCGCCGCCAGTCGGCCTTGCTGAGCATTGAAGCCCGTCCACTCGGCGGCTTTGTCGTCTTGTGGACTTCCGACAGTCATGCCGCGTTGCACTGCTGATGAACCTGACAGCAGTGGTCTGAAGCCGTGGCTCTTCAGGGGACAGAGCCTTTTGTGGGGAGCTGAGGTGTGTTCAGTTTGGAAGGCCCTGCAGCGATGTAGCTGCACAGCTGGTGGGTGGGTCGCAAAGGGGACACTCGCTATCGCCGTTCTGCTGCGGAGGCTGTACACGAAAGAACAAGGCATGCCAGGAGCAAAGGGACTACCTGGAGGCAGCCAAAGAGCACCCGACCAGAAAGAATATGCACACGCTCTTTCAAGCCCACACTGCTGGTGTCATGCTCCTGCACGGAGGGAAAAGTGACAACTTCCTCTAGTGGCACTGTTTCATGGCAGTGTTGCCGTAGTTTTTCGTGGCAGGTCACCACATTATGCTTGCCAAATGAGCTGACATGTGAGACGGATAAAGCACCCTTCTCAGCGTGCCAGGAGGAGCTTCTGACGGACGGGCGCGCCTGGTGATACTCGGAAGCGAGACAACAATGTCAGCAGATTAGATGTTGTGGCCTCGGTCAGCTGCTGTACCGCGTCGTCTGGCCAGTTCTGGGACAGCAGAATGCTGGACGAGAAGTGTGAGAACTCAGATGGCCCACTACACTCCTAGCCCGAAGAAGCTTCTCAACCAAGAGATATTACAAAATATCTACGTTACCCAGATCAAAACAACAACTTGGTGACATCAAGATGGTGGCGGCCGCCATCTTTTATCTGAGAAATGTTCAGGGTCGCGCAGATAGCACCCAGCTAGTTTGACTTTCCTTATTTGTAGAATATATTCCCGTGAAAATGCTTTGCGGCATCAACACTGCAGGATTGCAGTGTCGATTGCAGGATTGCAGAATCGACACGCAGGATAGCATATTGGCAACTTGGCTATTGAGTATTGTCGGCCGTCTTACGGGATTATGTTCCGCACGGGAGGTAGTAGGG